TTAATTACTTAAAATGATGGGAATGCTCAACTAGAGGTAAAGAGATTAAAAAAAAGAATTTCATCTTCGGATGGCTGGTAGGCATATCCTATTGATTACTTAAAAAAGATGCATCATAATTGTTAACAACAAAAAGAAAGAAAAAAGAAAAAGAAAAAAAAAAGATAAATGAATGAATTAGATGACAGGCATACGATGGAAACTAGAGATCAACATGGATGATACTAAAAATAACTATTTTTGTAACTTATAACAACAATGTTAAACCAGAAAAATAAAGGGTCGTTTACATACTTGTTAAGCTCTTATACCTAAGCCATGCATGTTTGACATGGGTAAGTCAATATACATAGTTTTTTGGGCATTTGGATTTGAAGTTCAAAATATGTTTTGATGTTAGAAGTTGGGTCAGCCACCTAATATGAGGATTAGGGGCATATAGGACTCAGAACTCCCATAATGGATGCAATGCAATGATTGCGGTGATGCTGATGTGAAGATGAAACAATGTGATTGCAATGAGAAGATGCTTGAGTTGCAAAGAGAAGATGCTTACCTATGTTGATGCTTGATGGCTAGTGTTAATGTTGTTGACTATATGCCTTAGTGGCTAATCTTTCGTAGTTTGGAAAGTCCATGCTTTTGAAGTTTGTATTCCAAACAATTCCCAATCATGTTATGTATATGGTTCAATGGCCTAGGAGTGAGAATAATAAAATTGATTGAATTCAAAGGATTTTTTGGTAGAATTTTGGTGAGAGCAAAGGTTTTAGTTGCTAGGGGTGAGCATGGGTTTGGTTTGGTTTTGTGGAAAAACCTGGAACCTACCCTATAGGGGTTGGTTCCAGAATTTTGGAACCATAATCTACCCTGTGAAGGTCAGTTCTGCCCTTGGTGGTTCTAGGGTCAGTCCCAAGAACTACCCATGGAACCTATTCTTTCCTTTACCCTCCCCCTTAGAAAAAAGCATGTTCTTTAAAAACTTGATTTTCAATAAATATAATATGTAGTTTAAAACTTATATTATCTTTATTTAAATTGAGTAGTAACTCAAATATGTAATCCAAAACTTATAATTTAAGTTTAAATTTTGTAAATATTACCTTTTACATCATTTATTGTACATATTCAAATATTAAAATGAAAACAAATGATCAAATCACTTTAGTAACTCAATTGTCAAGTGAAACCATGTCCTTTATAACCATGAGTTCTTGGGTTCAAATCTTCACATCCTCAAAAGTATTTTGAGGTTTATTTCAAGGCAAGTTAGATTTTAAGGCAAGTTTTACCAAGGCCAATCAAGGTTGGTTCATTGGATCAGTTCGGGTAGGGTAAACCCCTAGACCCTAGAACCGACCTGGGTGGGGGTTGGTTCAAAGAATTTTGAACCAGACCCTACTCTATAACAAATTGGGTTGGGTCAATTCAAGGCCGGTTCGAGGTCAATTCCATTTGGTTTCAGGTAGAACCTACCTATTCGCTCACCCCTATTAGTTGCTTGAAAATAAGGCTTTTCAATGGAAAATTGCTTGGAAATAAGTTTGAGGGGGGACTGAGTATAAGAAAGGCTAGGGAAATAAATAAGGCTTTTTAGTGGAAAATTGCTTGGAAATTTTTTATCTTCAAGATGCTTTATGGGTCAAATTTAGGGGTGACCATTTCAGCCCAACCCAGCCCGGCCTAGAAATTCCGAGCTTGGGCCTAGGTTTTGTGTTCAGGCCTGGCCCGGGCCCGGGCCCACATCAGGTAGTCTGGCCCGCATATATTTATGCTTACACATTTTGTGTATAATGTATACATATGTATACATGTTATTTTACATTAGATTATATATTTTATATATAAATATTATAACATGACATGTATAATTTATATTAGATGTAATATTTTATATTATATAATGTATAAAATAAGTTTATATGCATGTTATGTCATTTAGTATAAAATATTATAGATATGTAGTGTTTTATATATGAAAGACATTAGCCCAAAATCAAGCCCAACCCAGCTCGGTCCCGTGTAGACCTGGGCTAGGGCTTATGTTTCAGGCCTAGAACCCTGAGCCGGGCTGGGTCCGGGCCTAAACTATAGCCCTTATCATAAGTGCAAAGCTCAGCCCGAGCCCAGCCCGACCCAGCCCATGATCACCCCTAGTCAAATTGAAATATAAGTAGTTTAAAGATAATATTTTTTTGGGTATACAATTCCTTCTAATGATTCAATTTTTTGAAGTTTATTTGTAAATCCCTTTTGGAATTATTCCATCAAGTAGGGATCAGTGTTCATGTTACTTTTGAAATGAATGTTTGAAATGCTCCTTGGATCTTCAAAGGAGACTCATTTGTAATCCCTATTGGGCCCTACTACTCAGAATACTCAGAATGTTATGATCAATGACCTATTTATATCCTAATGGGAGTTGGAATTTGGATAAGTTGAGAATCTGGATCTTCTCCACACACCAACCCTACACTACATTGCGGTCATGCATTGGAAACATCTTTGGAAGTGTTTTGAAGATGTTATGTGGATAGTATATTGAAAACTTTTATTTTAGAATTTGGAATGAAAATAACTTTATTTGGCTCCCTGGTAGGAATGGTGTTCTCTATTAAATCAATCTGTTTTGTAATTTGGGAGAAGAGAGCTTAGATGTTACTTAGACAAGATGTTTTGTTGCTTCATAAGGTTTGTAAGCTTCCTATCCAATTTCTTTGGAGGGTTCTTAGGAATTTTGTCTCTTTTTTCTCAGATATGAATGCTAGAGGTTTTATGTTAGATTCTAAGTGTGTTTTTGTATGTTGGTCAAGAAGATGGTTGTCATTTGTTTTTCTCTTGTCCATTTGCTCAATCTATATGGTTTAGTACTTTTAGGGGCTTAGGATTTGTAATAATGCTACTTGTAGTAGGGTTCAGGATATGGTGTCGTCTCTTCTTCGGAGTTTGAATTCTAGTGTTTATAGAATGAACTTTTTAGTTGAATGGCCATTTTATTTGGAAAGAAATGAATAACTTTATTTTCAAAGGGAGAAACACAAACATTAATGGTTGTGTTTTTCATGTAAGAGATGCTCTTCATGAGTGTTTTGTCTTTGAGGGATATGAACGAATATGTTCTTTTTTTTTTCCAATTATATTGGTTCTAGGAGCTTTACAAGTAGTGGTAATATGATAAATAGTTCAGTTGTCATATATAGGGTTCCTACATATGGTTTTGTTTGTTTTTTTTCTTAACCCAACACACCACCGAACCAAACCCACTTAAATGTAAATCAGGCTGAAAATGATTGCAAGAATTTGATTACTGCCTTTCTTGGTCCAAGGCAAAGGTGCCCTCGAAGACTTACTTTTAGGTCAAAGATGTCCAGGTGTGGCTTCAAGATTGAAACCTAAAGTTTTTTTTTTTCTTTTGTTCGCAGGGATCAAAACAAAGCAGCTCATGGAATTTCTTTAAAGGGCTGTTTTTCATCGGGTTCTTTTGTCTCTTTGATTCCCAATTGTGTTCAAGTGTTGCTTTCTGAAACTGACGACTTTTTAGTTTAAGTTGGTTTGTTTCAGTATCTTTTTCGTTTGTTAGGTTAGGCTCTCTTTCTTTGGCTTAGTTGTATCTATTTCTTTGTGTTGTCTGCTTTTTAACGAATCTAGTTTTCTACTAAAAAAAATTTATTTTTTAATCTAAGATTTTCTTTGACTGCTGTAGAAGTGGAATTTGGATTATCCGAGCGCTTTAGCTGTATAACAGGTTGTGAGATCAATGATAATGCCCCACACCAGTGATAAAATACATGCGTCCACACTAAGAGGTTGAATGGTTGTGAGCCCACGTATTTTATGAATGATGTGGCGTGTTATAATTGCTTCTGCAGCCTACTGAACAGTTATTGTGTTCAGCTAATCCTATGCCATTAAATTAGTAATAGGGCTGCACATAGACGGCCTAAAGAGCAACATCTTTTATGGAAGAGCTACTGTGGTTGAATGAGCCTCCTTCTTTTTGGACTGGTCGTATAATTATGATATTTCTTAATGATAAGTAGTGCAACCACCAACTCAAGACATCGTTTATCTATGGGTAATTTTCCAAAACCCACCATCACTTTTTATGAATTCTCTTAAACTCACTATAACTTTTCAAAATGTCCAAAACTCGCCATGTCAATGAAAATTTATTTTCCAAAACTCACCATTCGTTAGAACCCCATTAAAGTTCAATGACCCAAGTTGTCCATGCCAACCTAAATTCATGTTTCATGACTAAACTGCCCCTGAATGGTGTGAAGCTCGAGAGAGACCATTCTCCGTCTTAATTCTTATCCTGGGAGCAGGAAGAGCGGTTGCACTAGAGAGCCAAGAGCGATGGATAAACCAGTCCAATCCTCCTCTTCACTTGCTATTATATATTGTTATTACCATTTTGAGGTTGCTATTATTTGTTTTATGTTTGATACTCTTTCTTTCTCTTTCGTCAACCAAACAAAGAAAGAGAGAGCGAGAGACGGATTGATTAGGTGGGGTGACGGGCATCATTTGAGAAATGAAACGAGAGAATCAAAGATAGAGGATTGAGTTTCCTCTAATTCATTATGTGTAAATTAACGATGCCCGTTAGCCAAGTTATAGTTATCTCACTGAGATGGTGAGTTTTGGATGTTTTAAAAAGTTATGGTGAATTTAAGAGAATTCATAGAAAGTGATGGTGGGTTTTGGATAATTACCCTTCATCTATAGAATTCCATTTACTCTTTTCTAACATTTAAATCAAGTAGAGTTGAATGTAAAAAAGTATTTCAGTTTCCTGTTGCCAATTATATGAAACATCTTGTCAACTGGGCAGTGAATTAATGGCTTGAGTCACATGACCCCAACTCAATACATCGTTTATCAATAGAATTCCATTTACCCTTTTCTAATATTTAAATTACACAAGTAGAGATGAATGTACAAAAGTATTTCAGTTTCCTGTTGCCAATTATATGCATAAATAAAGGGTCAGAAGCTGTAAAGAAAGAGATAGACTTCATGATTTTATTAACTAAATTATTGAATTCAGACATAATTCGAGAATATTACAAGCCACATTTTATATATTCCTTTAGTCAGATATCGCATCTATATACTATATGAGAAGATCTACATTCTTCTCAAATTGTCTAACCTTGCTTGTAGGTCATTATCTATCCCACTATCTTCATTGCCCGTTGATTCAGCTTGGGGAACCTTGGTCTTTGCAGCGGGTGCAGCCACTGCTGCCGAGGGTGCATTTAATAGCTGTGTATAAGCAAAACAAGAAATGACTCATAGTTATTGCCACATGGACCTGGCCTGTTTTTACCATATAACAAAGAAACATGTTAAGTGACAGACATACCTCTGAATTCATGTCGATTCCTATCTCGTCAAGCACCTGATTCACAAGCTCGTCTGTTTCTTCCTCTTCCTCATCTCCTTCCATAGCATCATCAATGGCTTCTCCCATTACCTCTGTCACCATTTCCATCTTCTCATTCTGCATCTCAAATTCTTGCATTATCCTCTGCAATGATGGCAAGTTCATCTGTCTATTCATCTGCCCCATTGCCTTTGTGACACCTTTCATGGCCTCCCCCATTGCTTGTGTTGATTTCAATGTCTGAAAATTTCAATATACAAGTACAACTTTCAGTTTTGACAGGGATAGCTCTCAGAGACAGTTTAAAGGTGGTAGACTCGATGTATTCATGAGTATCTGTTGTTTGCACCAATGTTGTAACACTCAGGACCGGTCACACCCAGAATGCTTGCCAAGTAGCGGGTCAAATGGTTTGACCACAATTCACCTACTTAATATATATTGTATTTTTGGTAAGTTATAATGCATATGAACATGCTCGCTGGATGGTTAATTATTCATTTTCGGCCCCAAATGTCCAGGGTTCAAATCTCGCTATAAGCATTTTGCACTAATATTTAATGAAATATATATTAAAGATGCATATCTAAGCACAAATAACAAAATGGGTTAGTGGTAATAGGTTACTTTAGTTATTAACATGTCACGAGTTTGAATCTCACCATTAACATTTTAAGTTTCCAGCATTTACTCACCTGGGTGGGTCGTTGAAACCGGTTGGATCGTGAAAACCCGGCTAGTTTTCAATGGTTGTCCGGGTTCGGGTTTTGACTGGTTCTACTGGTTTTCTAGAAATTTGAAACCCGTGGTTTTAAAAACCACAATGGCCTTTGTACCTGGGTCTAACGGGTCCGGTCCAGTCCGGGTCTTAAAATACTGGTTTGCACAGTACAAAAATAAATAAATAAATTATAATGAGAAAGGCACTAAATGTATGGGACTATAGAGGCCTCTCATCTAACACATTTTCGCAACAGTTAAGCCAGTTGCTGTACTTCATTCAAGGAAAAAATATATTTGCTCGGTTCCAATTGATTCACCATAAATAAGCAGGTCATTTAAATCCTAAACATGTGATATGGATTGATAAATGCATTGAAGTCCTCCATTTTTTTCTTCCAAATCAATAAAGTTAATTCAGACCCAAAAAGAAAACGGGAAAAAAGGAAAATAACCTGTCATTCTTGCTTCCACAAAACAATAACACTACTAGATTAAAGATTTTTGTTCTTTTCTCTCCCTCACACCTGTGTTGTATTCGATCATTGTTTAACCTCTTTATCTCACTTCCAATATCTGATCTCTATTGCTAATACCTGCTATAGTTACATCAAGTATTGGAATTATTATATTGTCATGTATTGGAGAACTAAACGTGAAAGTGGAGAAAGGAGAAAGAAACATAAATTTTGAACTTCATTAGGAAAAAGTTAGAGAGAGAAAGGGCATAAAAGAGAGAAACCACATAACCAAGAGAGAGAAACAAGATAAGAAAGAGGAGAGAGAAGAGAGAAACATAAAAATTAGACTTCATTACAAAAAGTTAGAGGGAAAGGACATAAAAGAGAAATAAGCCACATATCCAAGAGGAGAGAGAATTTGAAGAAGAGTAGAGAGATGAGAGAGAAACATAGAGAAGGGAAATATTGGAGACTGGAGAGAGAAGCCACATAACTAATGAAGGCCAATGTTTATGTTTCTCTTTTCTAGTGAAATCTATTTCTTGCATTTCTCTCTCCTCTCCCTTGTTTCTCTCTCCTCTTGGTTATGTGGTTTTTCTCTCTCTAACTTTTTTACCTAATGAAGTCAGAATTTTTATGTTTCTCTCTACTCTCTATCCTTTAGATCTTGTCTTGTTTTTTTTGGGTATTTGGTGATACACACACACACACCAAGAACCCCATTCCCCAAACTTGGTGGTTGTGAGAATCAAATCTGTGTTTATGCTAGAGCAAACCAGCTAACATACCAATTGAGCCACCCCTCAGTTGGCCTCTCCTCTTGGTTATGTGGCTCCTATTCTCATTTCTCTCTAATTTTTCTAATGAAGTCCAATTTTTATATTTCTCTCTCCTCTCCTTACTCTATCCTTTAGATTCTCTCTCTTGGTTGAGCGACTTCTCTTTCTTTATACCATTTCTCTCTCTTTTTTTTTTGTGAACTACTCTTGGTTAAGGGAGAGGGAATTTCTTTCATATGGCAGACCCAAATGGGTACCATGACCCACCCTAACCCAACCCTTTTTACTTGATCCATATTCAACCCACATCATAAATGGGTGGGTTAAGTGGGTCAGGTTAGAAATTGGCACCCCTAATTTGGACATCTGTTATGTAGACTGTTTCTTGGAGATTAGTAATAAGTCATGATTCTGAGGTGCAAACTAGCCAGATTTTTATTTTTTTTATTTTTTTGGTGCAAATTATCAGAATTATCTTTCACATAAATGTTGGATAGTATACTGGTTTCTATGAGACTGTTGGTAAGAACATGGTAGGCAAAGAGAGGAGTGCAGAGGTTTGACAATTTAGGTTCATGAACAGAGGTTAACAAATACTGCAGTAGGTGAAGCACAGGAATGAGAAGAGTTTACGTTGGTGGTGTTAATGATCTGGGAGAAAGAAAGTGAAGATCAGGGACAAGTTAGGACTGTTTTTTAAGTCAACTAATCTTATTAAATGAAACAAGGACAGAGGGTTTATAAACTATAATGCTTCCATCAATTTAAAGTCACATAGTTAGGACTATGGATATTCAATGGCATGTATTTATCTGATTGTGATCGGGTATAAATTCTTCAGGTTGCAACTGGAGAGGATTTCAAAATCAACACAAGCAGATGTTCCCCCAATTGCTGCTTTATGTCTCTATTAAAAACTTTTCCAAAATTGATGTAAAAGAAAATAAACCAAAACTTACTGACATTAATGGCATCAAGAACTAGCATGTGGCCCCGAGGCCCCCCACCCACCACCACCAAAAATAATCACATTGATGTGCATTTTTCCAAGCACCAACAAAATCCAGAAAATAACAAAGAAACAACCAGTGAGCAGGAACTTGGGGATGATTAAAGAGGAGAAATCCAGGAGGATCTTGTACCATATTACAAGGACCAAAACAGTGAGTGCAAAAATTACCTGAATTCTAAGGGCAACACCTTGAAGTTGTGATTTAAGCTTATAGAACTTTTCTATCTGATGTCGTGTTCTAATGAGGTCTTTTGCCATGATTCTAACAGCTCCCTGAAAAAGAATAGACACTGATATGAGCATGAGATTTCTCATTGTTATTAACTGGGAAAAAATATCAGCATAAGATATGGTTGAGTGTCATGAAATAGTCCCATGTGGTGTGACACTACCTATATATTTTACAGCACCTATAGTCTTCAAGTACAGGCAATTAAAAAGCATTTCGAATTGTGAACAAAAACAATATATATTAATCATTGCAAATTGTGATTTGTGAATAGTAATGGAAAAAGGTAAATAATCTGGTAAGTTAAGGAACTTCCCCAAACAATATGGACAAGTTTCCAAAAGGCCTCGCACATGTTCAAAATGAGCCTTCTATATGGACAAGTTTTATATTTGAAGATTGAAGTTTCAACAGCTAATGTTAGTTCACAAAACTATCAGAACAATGTGGGATTAAACATGTGGCCAATGCAAAGGAGCCCCTAACCAGTAGACAATCTAAATTGGCAACACCATTCATCCATGTAAAAGAAATAGGATAGATTATATGGGAAACTTCCTACTTACTATTAGGGTACGTTCTTAATATGTTACAAAACAACTAGATGAATGAATTAATGTTTAAATTGTTATTTTGAATGTGAAAAGGTTAATTGCTGTGGTATGATTCATAGTTGTCAAGGCGTCTAGGCGATTCTGGGTGACACTAGAGCACCTAGTTACCTATAAGCGATAACTAGGAAATAAGAATCTTATAAAATAAAGAGCTAACTTTTGGCTAGTTCCCTAGTTTTGTATACCATTCAGCATGCATAGCTGGTATAGCTGGACTCCAAAAATATGATGGTATAGCTGAAGGTGCCTTGCTGGTATAGCTGAAGGAATCATACTGACGGTTGAGATCAAGCTGAAGGATAGTGGAAAGTTGATGAGAGAGTACAGTTTCTGGAATCTTGTTTGGTTGGCAGATATATTAATTTGTCACCTGATGAAGGCGATGTGTTCGGGTGGGTGAAGATTGAATGGAGAAGCTTCGGTCTTGTTGACATTAGAAAGGTTAATGCAAGCTTGGTTTATGTTCAAGAAAAAGGAAGATGCTAGTAAAATTTTATCGCTTGAAGGAGGTAGACCGTTAAGATGCCTGATCTGAGGTTAGGAAGATGGAACCCAATGGTTGGTTTGATTAGAGGAGAGCTGAAGAGAAATTTTGTTTAGATAAATGTTTTCGGCATTCCGTTGCATGCCTAGTTTGTTCAAGGTTTCTGCATAGTTGGGGATGCCTGTTGAAGGTTCAAAAGACATGACTTAAAAAATAGAAGATGGTTTCAGTTATAGTTTGCAAGAATCCTGATCGAAGTAGGAGATATTCATTATTTATCAAAACACGTTGGAGAGATTCAGTCGATTCCGAATTGTATGGACCTTTCATTTGCAGGAGAAAAGTATGAATTAAGAGTCGTGGTTGAGGAAGTGGATCCAACCTTTTCTCTGGTTGAGAGGTGCTCAGAATCTAAAGAATCATCACCTGAATAGAGGTCTGGCAGAGATATAAAGGCGAGTGGTGGTGAAGAGGAAGAAGATGGAAGGAAAATCGACAAGGATGGGGAGGTAATTTTACAGCTGGAACCTTGAGGAATGTGGGAAGTGAAATGCTCCCAAGCTCTAAGGAAGGGGAGGTGAGGAATTTGAGAAAAGAAGGGGATGGGATAGGTGTTAGTGGGAGGATTGCAGAAGGACCTCTTCTGGTTTTCCTTGATGGTGGTGTTGTGAGTGGGAACCACTATTTAAAATCAAAGATGGAGTCTTGGATTAGGGGTGACTGGTTGAATAGGTTGAAGGTTAGAAGTGACAAGGGCTTTAAAGTAAAGCCAATCTTCTATTCTCTCATCTTCCACTTTTCTTGCCTTCTCTTCTTTTGCTCAAAAACCTTCAGTAAGAAGAAGATTATTATTTGCATAAAAATTAAGATATGCAATGATGCATTAGAGATACTGATTTTTGGATGTCAAAAGTATTCTCTACAGATGCTCACAAGACTCAGGTGAGCACAGCTAGGTGAACCAAGTCCAACATCTGATATCAGAAAAGAAATGGAGAAGGATTTTCACTAGCAAGGTGTAGGTTGTTCACCATGATCGCAATGGCAACGAAGGGACTAAACCAATACTCTAGAGACACCCGCGATGAGTTCACAACTCGGCACGAACGTGCGATGAGCTCAAAGCCACCATAGGCCTGTGATGAGCTCAAAGCCACGACATACCTGTGACGGATTCAAGGTTACCACAGACATGCAATGAGCTTAAAGCTATTGCGAGCCTGCGATGAGCTCAAAGCCATCACAGGTTGGTGACGAACAAAAGAATAACGGTCAGCCAAAAATTCTCGCAGCAAGAAGCTCAACAGGATTAAGTTGGACATGTCAGACTGGTCTTGACATCATCCACACCATGTCAGCCCAGGAGACCCGCAAAAGGAAGTAGCACATGTGTATTATGAGAATCCTCAGACGAAAGGAAACTTCACCCTGGAGAGATCTCATAAGACACGTGGCAAACCCCTAGCAGTATCCCCTTGACAACTGACACCGAATCAAAGATCCCCTTTCCAAATGGGAATCGAATTCTTTTGGCTCCTTCCTTTCAGGACCTCAAGATCTCTCCCTATAAAAAGGAGGCATGGATCATAATGAACACATGACTCTGTCGATAGAAGCCCTTAGCCTACCCTTGCTTCCGGCCTTCCTTCGTCCTTCAAGGAGACCACCACACTTAGCCTCACCACACCACTCACACAAGGAAAAGGAGAAGGGTTGTCATGGTGGAAACGAAGGTGCTATTGTTGGAAGAGATGATCTACCAGAAGGAGCTTACGATAAAGATTCGAGAAGGGAGGAGAGGTACGGTATTATAAGTGGGTGAAGCAGCTTTCTATTTCAAAGTGTCCTCGATGGAGCAGTTCATGTAAGTTGGCATGAAGTATGGAAAGGCACTTTTCACCATTTGAAACAGGAATATGTAGCAGAAAGGAAAAGGAATGCTAAAGGCTGGTTTGTGACCTTGGGGGAAAGTTTGAAGGGGGGAAGAAGCAATTGATCGTCATACCAGAAGGGAGAAAGTTGGAAGGTTGGATTAAGGTAGCAAATGAGTTGCATCAAAGAATGGTTAACAACTAGGTTAGACCAGAGAAAGAACCTATGGTAAAGGGAGGGATGGGAAAGAAAGAGGATATGGAAGCAATTGGAAAAACTAGGGACTGAAGAAGTAACTGAAGATTAAGAAGTGGTGACTATAGCTCTTTCTACATAGGAACCAAAACTATTACTAAATGGGGACAGAGGAGATTTGGAGCATAGATTAGTCTTATCTACGAAGAACATAGTGAAGGACTGGAAAGAGATCTTGGAGGTGGTGACGGAGAAGTTAGGGATTAAGTGAATGGATATTTTGATATCATTCAATGAAAAAAAAGGCTGTTTTGATGTGGGGAGAGAAGTCTTCCACTTTACTATAATGGTTGAAAACTGGTGCCCTTCTTTCAACTCAGTGGTAATCCGGGATGGAAGTTTTTGCCTGAAGCTCCTACGTCTGCAGTTTAATTTATGGAAGAAGCCTATCCTTGAGATGATAGCTGCGGCCATGGGTGGAGTCCTTATTTCCTTTAAGATCTTGGAACTAAGAGCAATTAGTATGGGGATTGCAGGAGTCAAGCTTGAAACCATTCCAAGATTGATTAACCTATTCATAGAGGGTTTCTGGAAGGTTTGGGTTGCACCGGAATTGGAAGTGCTGCTATGGTGCAGGTGGCACTTGGAGGAGAAAGAGTAGTAGAATCCAGGCACGTGAGCAGACAGGTGGAGGAAACATTGGTAGAAGAGAAGAAAAAGTCAAAGACAAATGAAGGGTTGCTTCATATTCCCGAAAAGGAATTATTTTCAAATGGTGGTTTTAAGAAGGTGGGATCTCTCTCTTATGGGGAAGTTGTAAAGAGGGGATATGTATCGGATGGAGGGTGGGGTCCATAGGGTACAAAGAAAGAGAGGAATGCTAGTTGCCTAGTTTAAGCAAGCTGGTGGGGCAAACTGAACGAATTGTAGAGAAACTGGCTCAAGGGGTTGGGAGATGTTATCACATACCCCTTTAAGCATTCACATATGCATTAACTAGGGGATTTTGATAGATAGTATACAAAGTCTATCATCACCCTCCTTGTTACAGAATGCGAACAAGGCCATAATAGAAGTGGACTACAGTGGCAGAAGAGGACTGGCTCTGGATTGGAGCACCCCGATTGGAGATTTTCCAGGAAGCACCATGAGAGGAAAGAAGATAGTGCTTCTGATTGGAGCAGTTTGGAGGAGGAAGAAGATGACACCAGCTTGGATGAAATTTCCAGCATTAAGTGTGCAGGAACGGGAAAAGCTTACTTCATTGGAGTTAGAAAATTATAACTTGGAAAGCCTTTTCAATCTCCACCTAGACTCTCAAGCTTCTCAAGATCATCTGATTAGTCAGTTGATTGAGAAACAGGTTCAGATGAAAGAGGGTGACACTGTACTCCAGAAAGGGTAACCAAACCAGAGCTAGGAGTAGACACAGGGTAATAGATTGGTGATAGAGAAATCTAACCAGACGAAGAGCATTGATACTCCAAGAAGGTTAAGGCATCAGTTTCAGCTGAACTCCAATTTAGTGCACAGGAAAGTGACCAGTCAAAAGAAACCACCAAACAAGGGGACAGGGCGATTGCTGTTGATTTTCTGTCGAGTCAAGATCCAGCAAATATTTCAGTACTTCAAGGTAATAATATTGTGGTTACATTTTTGGGTACTAATTTTCACTCTGGTGACCCTGCAGATGCTCCAGTTCTGGCGGTGAGAAACTGAGAATAGAGAGGAAGAGAGCTGGGGCAGAGAGAAAGTATGCAGGGGGAAACCGAAAGAAGGGGAAGGACTCAAGGTGAAAGGTGTGATTTAGCTGAGAGTTGTAGGTCAGACGAGGAGATTCCATTGAGGTAGTGGGCAGAAAGAATGGGACTGAAAATTA